ATTGATGCATGCAGAAGGAAGATATCAACCACTTGCCAGGAAAGATACAACGCGTTAGCCTCGAATTATAATCGCTTGACTTCTTCTCTTTTCACTTAGTGCTAGATTGGGTTTGCAGGCTTGCAGTTTTCACTTAACCTCAAATGTTCTGACAAGTCTCCTGTGCATGTTGACTCACCTTCTATGTATATGTTGCCTCTCATTATGCTATCATTTAAAAATCAGACCGTAGTTGCAACTGTTTTGTCAGGACAAAGCCGAAGTTAAAATTTTTTCCGCGTTTGCTCTTTGTTTTGTAAGACATGAGCAGTTTGCTTAAATCGAAAGCTGACTTGCTGTTCGATGCATTTCGAAGCACAATTAACCAACATGTAAATCATGGTAACAAATTGTGGATAGAGTTCTTTTTGGCGTGTTGGATATTGTCCTTTTATAATCAGGTTTTTTCCTACCCAAAACCCTAGTTCAGATGGGTTCAAAGGATTGTGCGGCTGTTAGAAATGCAATGAAATCCTGCTTGACGGTTTCTTTCTCTCGCATTCGCGCTCACACATTTGTTGCTTCTATGAAATGGATAAGGGAAAAGGGCTGACTTGATCTTGGGTTATAGTGCGTAGGACCACGATGTAAGAGCGTTGCGGATGCTGCAGTGTGGAGGCCTTGGCAGCTCCTGCTGCTTCTTGATTATAAAAGTGACCAGCTGATAGAATGATTTGGTGTTTGTGTAGCGGATCTCTCGACCATAATGAGTGGTAGAACTCCGTTTGTAAACTAGACAATTATCCATTTGGTAAACCTGTTTCAGTTTAAGACAAGAAATGCTTATTCTGATAAAGTTAGAGGTCCTTGAAGCACTTCTTACCATTAAAATCACTTTTGGTAGCTTTAGAAGAAGTCTTTAACTAGTGTTTGCACACCTTGGTTGGTGCCGAGTTGGGATGAGGTGACGTAGCACTGTTTTCAGCCGGCATCAAAGATGGTGTCTAAGGTCTATTGCTACCAAAAACAGATTTGAAGAGAGGGCACGGAGGCTCAAGGGCATTTTTTGATGTCAAAAATAGATATTGGGAATAAATTTAGCGGTGTCAATAAGTCAATGATGACCTGGTTTCAGCTTACAAGAGTTTCTGACTGTATTTTCTCCGTTACATTAAAAAGATTCCCATTAATTATTAACAAATAACTCATGTCTTGATAGAATCTCTCTGGACAAAAGTTTTTTGATTACGTGAGTAATCAAGTTGCCCACTCTCAACCGATTGCTGACAGGATCTGATAGAGCAGTGGATTGCACTATGCAAAACAGAATGTCACGTGTGATTGGGTTGATTCTAACAGTCACGTACGATTCCCACCTGGCAATAGAAATATGCTAATCGTCGTTGGCTTTATCTTATTATGCATGTTAGACTAAAATTACTTGGAGTTTCGGTAGCTCATAAATCAGATCACCTGCTTATTGCCATGATTTTTTCTAGATATTTTCTTTTCTTCCACTCTGTACATGCCACCACGTATTTGCACTATTTAAAGGGAATCTTCCATGTTTATTTTAGCTCCACCGCAAATATAGTGTAATTTCCAAATTTAGGTTTAACTTTGGTAAACAACTCACTAAAAGGCGGAAGGGTTAATGCAAATTGCAAGACTATTGACACAATTTGGTAGAAGTCGCTGCAAATGAAATGGCAATGAAGCTGGATTAAAATACCCTAAAATACACTTCTTCGTCAACGCAACACTTATTGCCGCTATCACATTTTGCGTTGCACTTTTTAACACTACTATCTCCACTTCCGTTATTACCTGTTCAGCTGAACACATACCTCATTATATCAAAAATTCTACAGAACTCAGCCATCTAATCCAATGCCTGAGTTCTGATATCGCTTCAAATACTGCAAGAATGTTAGCGACACCACCCCACTCTCTGAGAACTGACCATTCAACATTTTTTCATTTGCCTATATTACTTAAGGTTATGTTACCGTTAGTAGCCAAAGTTTTGGTTCGTTACACATACATATCTGAGTACATCTGTTCCTGAACTTCTTAATAAGACAAAACATAGAATAGGGGCAAAGTAGGGGATATTTGTATTCATTTACACAGAAAATATCCTCATCGTTGTTTAAAACTCGTTGTAGAGGAATTCATAAACACAAATATAGGGGGTTGTTTTAGCAAAAATCACACCTCAGGCCAATTTTGCCCTCACAGCCGGATGATTTGTATTGTTAACTGCTCCATTTCGCTGCATTTACAAAAGGTGCATACTCTTCTGCTGGTTTGATTGCCGAAAATGATACGTTACTCGTGTTGTTCCATTGTTGACACTGCAAATGCATGCATGCGTCGAATCGGACACGGGAGTGGGCAAACGAAAAAGATCGTGTTATAGATTAGGGATATCTTGCAATATCATGTGTCACACCTGTGACACGCAGTGATTAATGCTTCTAAATAATTACTTGCACGGCACATTCTACATAACACATCCTGCACCATATAGAAGTGCCAAACTGAAACTGTTAAACAGACCATGGTTGGGATATTCGAGTATATTGTCACAAGTATCAGAATCTTCTAGTTGTTTGTCCAATTTCGTATATTAATACAACTTCACTTTGAATACACTAATTTCGATTTCAAAATTTTCCGCATTCACTCGTTAGTTCAAACCATTTTAGAATCTGTGCATTGATTTTGCTTGCAATCTGATCCAAAGCACTGTTTCAAACGTGGAGGTAGAACGTCATGTAGTTCGGCCATAATATGATCTCAAATGAATTTAGAACTAAAGTACTCTTTAGCATCATATTCATGAGCGGATTAGTGCACTTCACGACAGAACTATTTACGACTTGTTGGAGGAACATTCACGTTTTTCTCCACTTACCATGCAAAGAATCTGGTTAATTTAAGTGCATATTCCCATTAAATTTTAGAACAATCACAAATAAACGATGGATGAGCCAATCTGATTGACTGATTTTTTGACCTTTCACGTGAGTAGACAAAATAACTTAGTGTTAGCTTTAAGCCGACTGCATCAAATCGAAAATCGCTGAGTAGGAATTTTTTACAAGGGAAACTACTTCGAATATTAAAGTATATTCCACAGTTATACACTTCAAACTTAACACTACCAATATCACACCGATTCCTACTTTTTCTTTACCGTAGGGCTTAAATGTTTTGTTAGGGTCGACTATAACTAGCTTTCGGTTAGACAATTTTCTCAACACCAAACTTTGATTACTGTTAGACACTGAAGATTAAAAGGTGGGGAAATAGTTCTCAATTCATTCAAGCGCACAAAAATTGTTGAGCAGAATTTTGTCTTTCTGCCTTTCGAGACGTAAGACAGATAGATTGTCTAGAAGTTCCCAGAGTGTCAATTTTCCCTTTTTGGGGGCTAAAATAAACAAAGAATATTGACAGGAAGACAAGTAACATTTTGCTTACCTGCGGCATGCCTTTCTGTTGGCAACTTTTCATTATGCATACAAGCACACAGTTCCGTAGAGGAAGTCTCTCTCTCCAAAAATGTGGTCTCCAATTGAAAGAGATATCCTGACTTGGTAAAAGCATGGCGTGGATATTTTATCTTTCCGGGACTTTTGAGCATAAAGTTTTGCATTGCAGACAATTGCTCTGATGGGAATCGGTGTTGTCGATTCAATAAAGGCACATCGTGAACAACTTCATTCTCAAGGTATAGACAGATGTGAAAAAGAAAAAAATCAGGGATTTTATTTTAAGTAAGGAAGAAAACAAAATTTAGGATAGATTAGTTACTCATCAAATGAAAAGCCTATCACTGCTGCAGGTACTCCGGAATAATGCTAACAGTCCACCTGCCAGTTAGAGTGAATTGAAATTATAGAAGAAGGACCCATAGTTATGCGTTATTAGATATAATATGGATAAAATTTAAAGGAAGGAGCAGCTAGTGCTATCCGAATCAACCAGGCATGCTACATTGCTCAGTTTGAAGGTTCATTAATAAACGTAATTTTGACAAGAACTGGCACTGAATGCTTCCCCTACGGTTTCAAAATAGTCAAAGTAAACTAAACGGAAAAAGCGAACTCCTATTACCTTTACTGAACAAAGCTATTTTGGAATTGAATGCAAACGAGTAAATACTAGATTAACTTCTGGGAATGTTATACAAAGGAAGAATGGAGAGAGAAGAGACGCCTCTGGCTGACTTTGAATAAAACATTAACGAGAGCTATAGACATTTGCCTGTCTCCACCACGCAAGTCATAGATAGCTCAAATGACAATTTGTCACCAAGGTGAAGGGACTGGTGTGCCGATTAATTGGGCAGTATTGCTGCACCCTTTACATGAAACACAGATAGGAGATTGCATAATACGATGACGTGATGAATGCATTTTGTATAAAGTATTCAATCCACAGTCAGACTTCAGTCAGAGAATTCATGTATAAAATTAAAACCAAAATATTAGGAAGGGTCACAAATTTCGAAGTAGAGGATCGTCAGTAGGAGGAAGCTTTCCCATTTACCAATGAAGATGGTGTGAACAACTCATCCACGTGACTGACTGCACGTGTCCCAAAAACATCATAATGGGGCTAAAGTAGCGGATTAGTGAATTCGAAGTTTGCAAAAAGTTCCCCGATTTCGTTAGGAGTCAGTCCGGCTTTTGCTAGTTCCGTAGAATTTGTGGCACTGTCACCATCTGACGAACACCATCTTTGCAAAATGTGTAGTGAAGACTGTGATCCATTAGTGGTATTTCTTTGCCGTATACAGCTTCGAGAAGCAAGGGATCACGCCGACCCCCCATGAAGTCATTTGAGGCTTTGCTGCACGTCAGTTGGGAGGGTAGATAAGGCGGTTGCATCGTGCAAGAAGCCACTTCATTCCGATCAACACTGCGATAGAAATCCAGATTCTTGACATGTGTGATTTGCGGACGCTCCTGATAATTGAGTTTGAGACATGACTCGAAAAAATCCTGCAGAGACTTTGAGAAGTTATGCACATTTCTTATGCTATAGCAATCCGATCTTGCCCACTTCATTTTATTGTCCTAAATGCTGGCACATGGTCTAACTGGTCCAGACAAAATGTTGGCCATTAGAAGGGCCAGACTCCATGCATCCGCCTTTGTTGTAATTTCTATCCTATTAGTTATTTGGGGGACCATAAATTGGTGAGTTGTATAAAAGTCTCACGCATTCGGAGGTTCTCTCCTCTCTGATGCATCAAATGACCGGTCAAAGTCAGTGATGAGAATGTGGCCCGATTCCGAGAGGAGGATGTTCTCGGTCTTGAGATCCAAGCGCACAATGCGCATGGCATGAAGACTTCACAGACCGCAAAAATGAAGAAGAAGTAATTGCCTATCCTTTAGATTGTAGAAATTCTATCTGTTTGGAGTAACTTTGATTACCATGTATGTATGCGGTTGTGAATTAGTGTGGATGGGAGGCGGAGGTTACACAAAGTTACTACGTCGACAAACAGCTGTGGGTGCTGATCATTAATGCTCTGCTGAGGGAGGGGCTGTGGTGTATGCTGGAATTTTCGGGACAGATAGCATGGTGGTTGATAGCTGTTGAGGCTCCGAGATGTGGATATCCGTTGTGGTGGAAGCAGCTTTGGCCCGGCTATGGATTCAATGTGGCTTGAAGGTTCAACATTTAAATAGGTTTTTCCTTTGGTCTATGCCCTTGGCCATTTCAACACACTGTTTTATCCACGTAAGTCAGAGTTTTAAATTCTGCCTAAATAAAGAATTAGATTAGGAGGCAAATAGTGTTGATGATGGGTTTGGTTTGACGATCTTTGGATATCGAAAGCACGCAGTTGGCTTCAGGGCACATGGATGGTAGTGCGTTCAAGCATAAAAGGTGAGTGCGGATGCTGCATCCGTGTTTCTAACTTTGATTTTATTTGATGAATTCGAATTCCACTAGTAGTAAGTTCATGAGAATTACTTGTGCGTACTGATAAAGTGTCTCTGTGGCTGTTCTTAATCATCCTACATCAACTTTAAAATCGCTTATTTAGCTCTTGAGACAACTAGTTCTAAGTTAGCTAAAGAGTTCAGTTTTGACATAAAAGCCAATCATTTCTGCTTCGTTTCTTAATCCGTTACCTATATTCCAGTAGGGGTTGAATGAGCATCTGGTGATTTGCATGTTAATTTGAAAAGCGCGGATCAGCAGAAGTTGCTCACTTATAGTCCCTCAGATTCTAATCGGCATGATGAAGAAGCTTTTCAACTCGTCGTTTTTGTTGAAAAAGCATGCCGTTGAAATGTCATCCTCTCCAGGTTGAAAAGCTAGCGCATTTGAAAAGACGTACGAAACAATGGTCTTTAAATTGACTCTTCACCTGCTTGCAGTTTCTGAGTGTCCAAACATTACCCAGCCGGTGGTGCCGCATCGCTACTGCAGTCGACCACGACTTGGTGCCTACACGAGTAGTGTCAGCGGTGGTTTAAGTCGCGGCGTTCTTCGCAACTGGCCGAACTGCAGTAACTTTAATGAGAGTCCTCCAGTAAAAGTAGCGGACGAGCAGCTGTCACGTCAGCGCTCTGTCACCTGCAAACCAAAGCCAGGCTCCTCCGCGGGTAAATCGGAGGCAGAGATGGGGGGGGGGGGGGAGGATGTACTGTGTGTGAGTAGTGCTATCTTCTCCGTCCCTTACTCTTCTTTATGAGGGCACAGTTCCATCTTTAACGATCCTGGGGAATGGTACAGGTATGTAGATGGAGGTGAGAGAGAGGGTAGTTATGTTATGATCAGATTCAGTGTAGGGAGTTTTGTGCTACATATTATCTAGCTTATTTGGGACGAGATATTTGCATCAATTTGTGGTTTGGGAACTGTTAATTTAGTAAGTTGTTGGCTTTTGATGCTATGGAGGTTGATGTTGCCACTCTCCAGATACTGCGTTCTTGCCTTAATGCCATTGAGGAGGTATTTTATTCTAGAATCATTTGATTTTATATTCGTTAAATGTTTGTATTGCCTTAACATCTAAGGAGGATCATCCGCTTTTCTGCATTCTTGATTGTGATTCCACATTTTTATTTCTGAAAGGTACATTTTGTATAGAATAACGGATGTAACTTCTACTTCCTTTGAAAATAAAACCGATTGTTTAAAACTTTGAGTAGCAGGTGTAGATCGTTGTGATGTTCCATGGTCTTCGTACTCGTTTGATACTGCATCATAATAATTCCGACTATTTGCTGATTAAAATTTTTCCATATATGTTGTTGTCTGATTCCATCAATGTCCTGAAGTCAAATTGATTGATGTCCCGCCAGTACTTTCCCCAAAGCAGGTCTGATGTCGTAAAGACAGACTTATTAAGGGAGGGGATGCTGGGTTACTTTGAAGGAAAGTAAACATCCATTAGGAAGAATTTAAGCTATGCCCTTTAATCGCTTCTATCCATTTTCTTAGAAGCATGCGCTTTGCGAAGCGGCAAATTGACCTACTCACAAATTACGGCGAGGATAGGTGAAATTTTGCATTCAAACCTAATGTGTTAAAGAACAATATTGTGGCTTTTGGTTGCATTCCGTGACCGTCTGAATCTCATTGAGTAATAAATGATCCAATCGGTGTTTTACAAATAGCTTTGCTTTTAATCATCAGCCAAGCTTCTTATCCAGTGTTGAGCCAATATTTAGCCTGCACCACGCGGAACCTCATGAAACCTAGGGATTAAAAAAGCGCAAGGGCAAGGATGAGATTTTTTTAAGTTAAAAAATGAGGTAACACTTGCCAGGTTGAAGAAGGTTCTGGCCAGGAATGGAAAAGCGCACGACGGGATCCTTGGCTGCACGAGACAAAGTAAGGGAGAAAAAAATTTGGAGCTGATGCAAAGTTCCCATTACAGTCCATTACTGGATTTGATCAAGCAGCTGTGGTTTGTGTTACTTCACCAAAATACCCACAGAAAACCTTTTGGGTGGAGGAGGATGCTTTTGAGTAGAAGTAATAATAGTGAATCAAACATCAATTGTGCTGTACGAAGTAATTCCGAACTACCTCGTCTTATTTGGCGCTTAAAATGCCTCCTCTCTCAAACACCCCTCAATGACGGAATCGTTGAGTTGGAGACGAGACACGACAGCTTCCTTGACGTTGGTATCGGCAACAACGACGGGACGATGGAGGTGAATGAAACACTCGGATGAGTCAGCAGCCTTCGTGAGGAGACTATTTGAGCACATTGTTGGTACCCGTTAGTTTTGACATGCGCCAGACACCTTATAGGTGGTGGACATGTAGAAGAGGAAAATATATGCTGGCAGCTTCTCATTTGTTATGAGAGTGGATGCAGAGGTGATGCATGTGAGTGGGGCTGAATACTAGGTGAGAATCAGTGGACCTATGATATGTGAAGATTGCGTGGAGTGGCTATCTTCAACGAGTTCAAATCTCACTTTGTGTTGAACGATTACTGATTCACCTTCCCAGGGTTTGTGTTCTCAAACACTGAACCATCCAATTTGGGATCTAATATGTGCTGAGTGCTTGGCTTTTTCAAGAGCAAATGATTCAAGTATTGGACTGAAGGTCATGGCGTATATTAATTTTATGCTCTAAACAACTTCAATCACTTTAATACGGCCTTGAACAAACTGTTTTTCCATTGAATCTAGTTGACAATGCAGGAATGGGGTTCTTGTGACGAAGCAGACTGTGGCCCTTTTGTCCGCTGAATCACAGTATTTGCATAGAAGCCACCTGTACATACTTGTTCAGCCAAGTAGGTGTGATGTTTTGGGCACAGTGAGCATGGTTTCGTGTCACGTTTCAATGGGAACAATCGCCATGTCATGTTTGACTTACGCGTTCATTAGACTCAACCATTTGACTCAAGTCGTTTCTGTGTCTGAACCACCCATTGAGGAAATGTGGGCTTTTTGTGGTGGGACTGTCTTATTCCTTCGAAATGTGACCTTTGAGGAAAAACTCACTTAGCTGTGGCGTTACTCCAAACGACGTAGTGATGGTAAGACGATCTCCAGAGTAGTAATGGTTGTAAATGGGGAAAGGTGCATGGGGGAGCAGAAGAGGATGGGCCTTAGTAAGAAATGAAAATTTACATGTGCTAAAATGTATTACAATTGATTGCGTACTGGTGTTATTACTGATGGTGTTGCGGGCTATGCCAGTGTGGAAGCACGTTAGTTACCAACGTGGGGTAGACGTAATAGTCTAGAATCGTGGAGGCCGATTTGTGGATGAGTGAACAAGGAAGCGTGATTCGGAACATTAGCGAGTGGCCACTTTTTATTTGACGATCGATTGTAATGGAACAAGCTGTGGGACAGATGCGGAGGTCGTGTGACGAATTTCACTAGGAAGAGATGGCATTAATTTCCGACGAAAGTGGTATCATCAGTGATGCTATTTATATGAGCCAGAGCGAAGGGCGATATCTGGCGCGCTTTGCTTGAGGCTAGGCGGTGATGGCTGTCAATGGTTGGTGTGGTTCCAGTACTTCTTCTCCTTCAGAGATGTATCTGTCAGTAGCAGTTGTCTTTCTTGCTAAAGCTAAATCGAGGCTGTTTAGCCTTGTAAAGTGAGTTCTTGTACGCGTTCAATTTACCTTTGAAGGGGTTGTAAGTTATAACCTTTATTAGAGGGATTCAGAGACTGGCAGCATGGACGTCACTGTGGTTGTCGCTCTGCTAGGACAGAGTGATGCGAGCCCATCTGGAGGTTTGATAAAGGACACGCCTAGGTGGTACATGGGTGCAAGCGAATAGGGCTGGTGAGCTGGTGCCCGAATTGTTATGAAGGCATCACCATGTTCAACCATGTTCAAAGCATCTGTCCATGCACTCACTTTGACTCCTTCATCCGAATGCTCATCCAGTCATCAATGAGGCACCCATCCGTCTGCGTCCGAAGCATCCGTCAAAATATCCGTTCTGCATTCATTCGTCCTCCTTGTCCCATTTGTTCACAGAGCCTTTCATCTGTCTAGAAGTGATTGAACCTTTTGGAGCCTATCTTGGGATCATCCATCTATCAAGTTTGGGGAGACTGTTATCTGATTCACTCATTTCTCAATTTCTAATCTATTAATTACTTTTGGGTCTATCAGTGCTTTCGTCGTTAATCTGTTCTTTGTGTACTCAACAGATGCGTTGGTGAAGGGAGGATCTAGCACACGCCGACGGTGATACTCATGTAAGTGTCTGAACTTCCACCTGGTAGTGTTCAAGGAGTCACTTTAGTCGATCTCTTCATGGGCATTAAGGTAAGTGCGCCGATTTCCCTTTCTGTAGTCATTTTCAATTACACTATACAGCCTAATCTATTGTAAACAAGTTTGTTAGAATGACTCACCGTCATATTTAGTCACATACCAGCTGTTGATCCTCTCCTTCCCCTGCGTCCAGACTTTGTCATTAGCATCGAGGTCTACTGCCTGCAGGCGGGTAGCAGTGGAGGCGTTGGCAGTGGCGGTACCTCAACGGATAGTTACCAGTGTTTAGGTCTGCAGACATCGGTATGGGGAAGAATCAGCATCGTAGTCATGGAGAAATCGCTTATCATCTCATCGGCGAAGAAGTGCGGTGTGTTCCGCTTGTCCTCCTTGCTGCTCTCATAGAAGAAGAAGAAGTACAACGTTCCACAAGCAAAGGAGGATATTGATCTGTCTGCTGGTGAGTACGTTACCACGCTGGATAGATGTTTGAGAGGAGATCCAATGATGGGTAGGATTGATGCATTTCCTTTTGAAGTTTCTTGCAGAAATATTGGAGTGAGTTTACTTTTGGAAATATGCAAATACTAGGGTGTGTGAAGAAGGATCTGGCAATGGGCGTAGCAATAAAATTGTGGACTGTAACCAGAACAAAAGTTTGCTGTCTTGACCTCCCCTGTATAGCTCTTTGTGCTCCAACTTATGTCACTTTAGTCCACGCGAATTACAGTTGTACGTATAATTGCGGTATAGTGGTGGTGTTGATGGTGGTATTGATGAATGGTAATGATGCCTTCACGCAATCAATGTTAAGTCTTTTTCACCAAGCATTTGTTTAGCATTTGGGCTTCTTGCGGAGCCCAGTTGGGATTAGCTTTGCCGATGTGCAGAAGAGATAAGGAACTGGGGGCATGGACTGTGTGACCGGAGTGGTATCCGTGGTGCAGTAACCGAAGAGGGGAAGGAATCGCCTTGTCAATCACATCGTGAAATAATTACCCTGAGATGCGAATATCACAATGGTGGTAAGCATACGCGTTTGCAGCAGCAACAGCAGGGGATAGGAGATGGGTGAAGTGGTAAGTGGAGGGAATCATGCGGATATGGCACCGTACCTGGACGGTCTTCCTCTATCCTCCCCACTTGCCAGCCCAATCGGCTTTATCAACCTTTCGCTGAGACTGCAATCGGCGATCCTAAAACGGGGCATTTTGGTGTGTTTTCAGTTCATTTCACATAATCATAAAATCACTGAATTATTTCGTAGGGAGTGTGTTGTCCCAACCTTGCATTTGTCCGTTGCACCAGTGATTACTTCCAAACACGTGAATCATTCCCACTTCGTCTGTGACACGACCCGCACAATAGTAAGATGGGAAAGCGTATACATAACTGCTCCTTTGGAGGAACCAATGTGCAGCATTTGTGGTCGCATAAGGCGGATGCAAGGAAGGCTTATGCGTTCCTATCCTCGTGTACGACAATTCATTGGGAGACTATAATGAAGCACTTTCACTCGCAAAACTCCCATGTGTTGCATGGCGAAAATATGGCGATTGGAGTGATCCGTGAAGGATACGTGGGATGCATTTCGACTGAGGAATAACCTGCCTTCGAGGGTTTTCAGTGACAGCCAACTTGTCATTTATTTAGGGAAAGACCTCTAATAATCCCTAGTCTAATAGGTCAACTAATTGAAGCAGTCGAAATACACGAAGTTAGTAGAAGTAAACCTCACCCAGTGTGGGCACCGATAGCCTTTTTTATTGATACAGTGAAGTAGAAGTTGTATCGAGTCTTCTATCGCCAAAATTGCCCATTCTCTCACATGTTTTCTATGTATGTCCATTTCGATCATAGGAGTTGCGCGGAATTTGTTCGCTTGTACTGCATAAGCGTGTTTTGCTGCTTTAATGTGGCCGCTTGATGACATTTATTTTGGTTGTGGCATAGCAATACTTTCCTGAAGATGTAGGAGGACATAGTGAGCGGGTTGCGTATGTATTGGCGAGGTAGAATAGAGGTTGGGGCAAGTGGCATGGCCAAAGGCCAGGCCGGATGATGCAGATACGATGTGAGAGCTCCTGAGTAATTCATTGCTATTAACCTCGGGTTGAATAAACAAGTAATTATATGAAATGCCACCTCTTTTAAACATCGTTCGTGGCACTTCATTGGGTCGATCTCTCGCGCCAGCTATCCCAACGTCGTTGGTGCTGTTAGGAAAAACACCCACAAACCAACTGTCCACAAGCGGAAACGCGAATAATAAAGTAATCAGAGCAGTTGGTTTGAAAGTTAGTGAAAGTTACTAAACTGAGCGAACGCATTGAGCATTATACGCAAGCTGGTACTCAACGAATTTTATGCCCTTTCGCTAAAAGTGAATCGATCCTTACTTATTTGAGTTATTAGTCATTTGTGATCTGTTGCCAAAAACCTGGAGTTAAACAAACAACGTATCGCATAACCCCTCTCCTCTTCGAACGTAGTTTGCATCGCTTTTTTGGTCCACGTCTCGAGTCAGTCATCAAAATGTAGTCGTTCCTTCTGGGAAAAGCACCCAACAGCCAACTCTCTATCAGCAGAACCGTGAATTGTGAAGATATGGGAGGAGTTGACTGGAAAGTTAGAGGAGGTCACTAAGCTGAGCGAACGCATTGAACATTATAGGCAAACTGTTACTCAATGAATTTTATCCACTATCGCTAACAGTAAATCCCACCTTAATTATTTGAGCTGCCAGTCATTTGCGATGTGTTCGGGTGGAGTTAGTGGAGTACCTTCTAGATGGTAGCGTTGTGAGTGGCATTGGTAGTCCTGTCATCCACTGAAGAGAGTTGACTTTTTACTCTTACATTGGTAGCAAGTACACTTACTTACAAGACGTAACGGCTACAACAGGGAGATATTATCTATGATTTGGTAGATACGGTCGTTAGTTGCAGCCGACCTCAACGTTATAGCCCACGTGAATCCCTTCATCGCTCTCCATGAAGCAGAGGATAATCTATCTTTATTTCCGCAAAACTATTATATCCTTCTACTCGGTAAATCATTGCTCAATTCCAAATCACTATGATGGGACACTTATTAACCTCAGAGCAGTACAGAATCAGGATTTTTCTTCTCACCTATTCAACTATTTGCCGTTGATATTCATAATGGCCCAATTGCTGCTTTTTTCATATTTCTGTTACTAATTTGGTGATGTAATTCTTGCATTGCTGTAAAGTGAGAAAAGCACTTTTTTGGTCTTCTGGACATATGTTTTGGAAACCACCATCTTCGGCCCATCCGCCAGCATCTTGAAAGTGTTCCAACATCAACATGTTTTGGGATAATTTGCAAGTTTTACCCCAGTAATCCCAATAGCATGCTTCCTTCTTTTTCTTCCAACTTTGTAGTGCGAATTACAGAGTGCTGGTGAGACCAAGAAAAGAAAGAAACTCATCTAAGGAACAGATTGAATTCATCTATCGGTAAATCATGCAGCTCATTCTTATGTAGAGTTGAACAACATGATTTATGAAGGAATGCCTTGATAGCTGAATATGTTACAGTATTTCAGGGCATAATTTCCTTCAAATGATCCACAATGTTGTATATATATATATATATGAGTGCATAGGGGTAGAAGTATAAGCCATTTGAAGCAGGCATAAGATGGATGGTGATTTATTCTGCATATGTAGGTTTGATTCTTCCTACTTAGTACAAATCAGCTACTATTTTGAGATGCAACTCTTCTGCTTGAAATATCCACCTGATCAACGTAGAGAGGATTTATTCTGTAGTTCTAACCTTATGCTCCGCCATTATTTTGTGCGACTTTTAAAATTAACGTTAGTTATCCACCTCTGGTGCACTCCCCTTGAAGTTACACCTCCAGATTTTACGTCAAGGCGATTATCTTCCTTTTAACTGTACAGTTTAGTATTTTCTGGAGATGGATATAATAATTCGCAATAAACCGTTTCACTCACCTTTAAACCAGATAAGATTACTCTTATTGGAAGTACCCCAATGCCGACGAAATCAAAGGCATTTGAACTACCGCCAGACTGTTTTGCCGAGATCACTAAAGAGGTGCATTTGGGTGCTTCTATTCAATTTTTTATGCCATGGTTCCATTTAAGAAATGCTTTTTTATGACTAGTACAAACAGACGTTGTCCCTACGCATTGCTTAGTAGGTGTATGTAACTGTAGCGCCCTGAGTCTTTCCCCAAGATAAAGCAGTCATCATTGTAGGATAAGATAAGCGCCGGCGACGTGCAGAAGGGTTGGAGGCCATGCCGTCCGGTGGAAACACAAAGGTGGAGGCATAAATGCCGGCGAAACCAAAACGCCTTATCCATTCGCCACGGTTTCGTTACACCACCAAATATTTCGCATGCAAGTTCACACTATAGCGCTAGTAATTTTAGTCGCCAGTACAATGCAGCAACAAGTCCTCACATTTTACCTCCTTTTAAAACACAACGGGACAGTGACTACACTTGTAGTCTAATGTGGTACCTTTGCCTATCCATTACAATTGATAGTGGTGAAGCAAAGGTGATCAAGCGTACCTAAACGACCAATTTTGTTGCAGTATTTAGGCTTTGACAGCGCCTTCTACAAGGTGACGCGTGCATTGGCACCTTGTAAGCCCAGACCTTTCTGCCATCCTGCAAATGACATAACCTTACTTAATCAGTGGTAATGAATTAAGTGATCCTTTCGATTTCCCACGAAGGCAATGAGTATTGGTCTCCGAGAGAAGGCAAAGGTTGAGACAAACCATTTTGAAACAACTGCACACTGAATGAATTTTAGCGGAGAGCATTAAAGTGCAATCTACTGAAGAAATTCAGGCCAACTAAGGAACAGCTGACAATATGCGGTTTCATTCTTCTAGAGTAGATTGAAGGTAGGAGTTTTGACAGTTCATATCTTGCCGAAGTATGTCGAAAGTGAAATAGATGCTCTCTACGATGTCACACAATAGTGTGTGAAATCCGCACGCACTAAGGTAAGACCACTTCCACTAGGCTTTTCCTGTGCGAAGTTTGTTTACAATTTTAAGTGAAATTTGTTGCTATTTTGTGTGTCTGATCAATCTCTGGACAATTTCTTCCCCTTCCCACTTGATTAGGGGCCTGTGTGTGTGCGTGTGTGTATTTGTGGCTGAAGTACTCAGAGTACTCATTACTCACTCAATCGTCTCTCAGGTGGTAGAGGCATCTCATTCAAGAAGCACAGTTAATATAGATGTGTAAAAGAACAAACATTATCAGCTCCATGGCACGAACATGGCGGTCAAATTTAGAGAATGCAGAAGGCGTGCGTAGTTAAAGCAGCTGTAATGTAGCGATATCAGCACGGACTGAAGTTACATCTACGGCTGCCATTTGACCTCCGTAGAATCTGATCATCTTGGGTGACATGAATGCAGACTGCGGTTACCTCTCCAAATGGGTTCGAGGTGAACTGCTTTTGACAGCCGACTGCCGGTACAAATGGCTCATTAGAGATGAAATGGACACGACTGTAGCCAAGTGAGACTGTACCTACAACAGGTTGGTTTTTTGTTCTCTAATGTAACTACAAACATGTCGCCTGATTGAATCACACTCGTTTCCCTAGCCTTGTTTGATTTTTGAGTGTGCTAGCCTACCTCTATGCAAGTCACTTTTTGAGTTTATCGTTTGATGGTTTTGTTAAATCGGATTTAGCTCAAATTAGACAAGCATATTTCATCACTTTCCCAAACGGGCAAATAATTTTAGATCTCATTCAATCATCAAGAATGTGTAAAATAAGTGTGAAGCTTTGGTTTGCCATTCAGTGGTGTTAATACAGACGACTTAATTCTTCTGCCCTGATGTAATCAAGTGGCCATCTGTCGACCCAGAAGTAAACTAAAGCTTGAGATTGAAAAACAAGCAGGGCGGATCGCCCTTGAAGGGGATCGTGGAGTGCGTCATTGAGGAAGTTGCGCTCCTGCCCATCTCCTCTCTCCATCCATCTTCGCATGCTGATACGTTAATTCCTAAATAAGTGGTGTTGCATGCGTTGTCTGTTTAGCGTCTTTGCATCCTTGTACTCTCTACCAAAATAACGACTCACTGTCAATATGTAGATTTGATGATGTGCCAGTTCAGTGTAGCACCGAGCTCAGAGGAGACAGGAGATTTTAACTGTATTTTCTGTCTACTTCGCCTCGATGTCGGTAAAGTGCTTCCCACAGGAAGGGCCACGGTGACGAGAGTGACGTTTCATTTCTCAACTGTCGTGCGTTGAGAGTCTTGCATCCGTGTTTCTCAGCAATGTCCCAGGGAGTTCGGCGCATGGTGCTCAGATAAAAGACTCCAATCAGAAAATGAGTCGGTATGACATATAGATAATAGTTGACACTAGGTTCACCACTCCATCCAGGCATTCTAAGAAGATTGCTAATGAGCATCGGGTTCGATAAGTTGCGTGAATAGAGAAATGCAAAATCTGAAAGCAAATTTTACTTCATGATGCATGGACTGTTGAGCTTATTTGCTTACCCGATTTGAATCGAATGACTAAATGGACTTGTTTAGCTTAGCGATCATAGCACAGTTTTGTTAAACCTTCCTTTCTTTTAAATGGGAAATTTGGTGTCTTTCCCATCAATTTAGGTCTCCGTCTTAGTGGACAGAATTTTGCCGATGCAATCGCCTGCTGGAAGTGAGCCTACGTCGCCGACATTGGTGCAGCACACCTTTTAAGTTATGGTAAACCTGTCAATTACCTCGTCTACCGGTGTTTCAAATTTCAACACTGCTGTGCCTTCTTTTGACCACGGTTGCATGATTTCGCGCAAACACTTTAGAGAAGAATGCTTGAGGAGTGTTTCGGTTGTCGGGCAAGGTTCTTAGGAGAAAGAGGTGTTAGTGGGAAACACTCGACGCCAACTTTGAGTGCTTCACATTGAACAATTGGGTCCTTCAATCCACTGGGGCCATTCTCGATAAATCTTTCATTTTGCATGATAGATTTCTAATCCTTTGTCCAATTCAAAACCACATTATAGGGCTTACTAAATTTAATAGTTACTTCTTTGATCTACAAATCCGTTTTGTTTTTACTGACCAAGTTTTAAACTTACTTTCATTATTGAAGGATTTTGCATCCATAGGGTGAACGGAGACATAATAGTAGGGCTGAGTGTGTAGATCGACGTAGAGAAGTGACGGTTTCTATCGGCGTGGCCCGGCGGCCATGCCGCCCGGCGAAACTACAAGAACTGGGAATTAAGTGTCCACGAAACCGAAACGACGATCCAGGAACTGAAATACTCAGCAAAATTATGTTGTTTGTGGATAGGACAGGAAAAATGAATAGTAAATTGTTTGTGAAATATGAAGAGGAATCAGTACTTGAGTGAGCAAGAATTGAGTGTGTTGTGACTTACAGGGTTATAACAAAGGGCAATAAACTGGCCAAGCGAATTCCTACTGGGATTCCTTTCAATTTTCAAAGGGTCTTTGAGGTAAACTTAAGCAAGGTTAGTTGTCGAGTTGTCCTTTGTCTTAGCACTTAATGCAATCATGTATGGAGTAAAGTAGTATTATTTTGATGCTTTGTTGATACTGATGTGTCCACACCACTATTGTATGTGGACTCGATTAAATCGCTGACGGTGTTCAGCCACATGAAGCGGCACGTTGATATTCGGCTCTTCATTTTCTTGCACAGACGTGTGATGTTGATATGCATTTTGTTTTAGGCCAAAGAAGTCAGTGATCACTATCCTGTGGAATTTGTAATAAATTGAATTTCCGTAACACTTGTGATACTATGGACCTTTTCCGCACATACTGATTTTACCGCGTTGTTATTATGGACACAATACTTACCGGTCATCAAAGTCTCTCCACCACATTTCATTCATCTCCTTAAAGTTTACTTCTTGTCACTGCTAGATCCCTTTCTTGCACCTTGAATTTTATTCTATGTCTTTGTAGAGGGGAAAATAAATAAAGTCCAATGAGTTGTGTGGCGCTGCCTGGGTCATCAGCAAGACATTATCATGTAAAAGGAGATGCATTACTGTCGTATAGTAGGATAGGGAGGCTAGTAGGCGCGGTAGAAGGAATATCCCGTCCGGCAGAAGTACTAATTGAGGAGAAAGGAGAAGCTGAGTGATTAAATATATGATCGAACAAATTTCAAATCACTGCATGGCGAGCTTAGGCGTTATCTCCAGCTTTTTTATGTCGTAACTCTTCTGCGGTGGCCATCACAATGCCGTCTGTGCATGAAGAAGCAGCCACGATATGAGGATGGTAGTCATTAAATTTGCATGAGGTGGGAGGACATTGGATTTCAACGTCAGCAATGCGTCTCTTTCACTTCGTTGTATAGATAGTTATTGTCCCTTTGTAAATTGCATTAAGTTGATTTACTGACTTTGACACTGCCTACTGCTAGAAGATGTAAGAAATACACCACAAATGTCGGGCAGCGCCTGGCCGACTCGTCCTACTCGGTTTCTACTGTGCCATATTGACTACCTCACTACAAGCCCTCGGAGGATTTACTCATTCTGCACGTTAGAAGAAACGGTGAAAGAACCTCCTCAATTTTAGCGATCCACGTGAAGACTCCCAAATGATGGTGGCAATCTAGCCAAAAGTCCTGGCCAATCATGCTTTAGAGCTGGAACATCATAACCGAGTAACTACCGCAGATATTTGTCCTTCAAGAAGTCTTGCGATAAATTGCTGAAAAGATAGGAGACCAAACACAACTTGCATCCTGGCTTCCAATAGTAGTGTGACTGCAAAATATTACGAAACCGTGGAGAGTCGACACGGAATGCCAAATTGTGTCAGAGGGAATAAGATTTAGTGAAGACAC